GGCGTAGGCTGCAGCCCCTGTTGCAGTGGGTTGCCATGGGCTACCGTGTGTAGCCAGCAGCCAGTGTGAGCGGCCAGCAGCCACAGTGAGTGGCCGTCCAGAAGCCGGCGACTGATCTGCCTTGCCCGGGAAGAGCGCAATGATGGTGCTAACTTGAGCCAGTGAAGCAACGTCCTCCACAACTAGACTGAATAACATAAATGACAGCAACTTGTCTGTTCCCCTTCCCCCAGTTCCCCAGCACTGTTCCCATCCCCTCAATTCCCCAGTAAAAATCTTAAAAAAAAAAATCCATTGATTCTCAGTCCACTACATGAAGAATTTGGGACCTATAAAAGCAACTGTCTGGTCCCACCTCTCTCCCACCCACCCCCTTCCTCTCCTCCCCAAGCCAGTAGAAGTGAGCAGGCCACCTGACCTCACTCTCTTCATGTGCCACATCCTGTTTTCAGATTAATGAGCTCATTTGGTGGAAATTTACCAAGGGAAATAGTTTAATTTTGGAAAGTACCAAAAAGTTATCTGTAGTCACTCGGCTTATTTTGGGGGGCTCCTAAAATAGAGGGGGCATCACCGGAGGACCCTGGAGCACTCAGGGAACAGCAAGCATGCAGAAATCGAAAGCCAAGTCTCATGAGGCTGAACCTGACTCAGAAAGGAAATGAAACCCTTTGGAGACCACTCATCTCTACCCAGGAGAAAAAAGAAAAAAAAAATTTTTTTTTCCAAAAATAAGTTTATAAAGAAAAGTAGTCCACGTGGCGAAAGCCTAAGCTCTGGTGGTCTGAGCCCTGAGTCATGACCAAGGAACAGGAAAGCAAGCCTACCCAAGTAGGGAGTGTTGAAGCCTCAGCAGTGTCTCCTGCACCCGCATCTCTGCCTGTTTGAAGAGGCGCCAAAAGGCTTCCATTCTCCAGTTTTGTCCCGATCCTTCCGCTGTCAGGCTCTGGACGTTGACGTTGTCTGTCTAGCCTCGTAGCCTTTTGAGCATCTGGCTCCTGCGAGGAACTAAGGACTGAATGGCAGGAAGACTCCGATAGTAAAGTTAGGTGAGCCATTCTACACTGAAGATGGTGGAGCCCATGTGACCAGCTCCCTAAGTGTCTGACCACCTCCTGGCCAGCGTTTTTCCTAGAAGGGAGATTTTAATCCCTTATAAGATGCAGACTAGAAAAGTGAAAAACTGACAAGGCCCTGACAATTTAGTACCAGGATGAAAGGAATTCTGTCTCCCTTCTCTCTGCCCCCATCTGAAATCTCTAGTGATACAATGGAGGCTATATTTATATATCGGAATGAGCACTAGACTAGGAGTCAGGGGACCTATGTCCTGTTATATCCTGCTTTCACTAAATCAGTTGTTTGGGGAGGGGTGTGGGAAGATAAATAAATGAGTAACTTAAGTAATAATTCAAGAAATAATAGTTCATAGATTTTTTTTTTTTAGCAGAAACTGGCCTTAAAGATGATAGAATGCGTTGGGTTTTTAAAACTTTGTATTAGCTGTATTATGTACTATGCATTATGTATTATGCTTTCTCACCTGGAATCCATATATACAAACCAGCTAGAAGCAGAGATGCCCTGTTAAGCAAAGCAGGTGGCCAAGAGTGTGTATTGGGGTTATCTGCTCCCCATCATGACCTCTAGGCTCTAGGGACACATTTTGACAATGATAAATCTAATGAAATGTTCTCAGACACCAGATGTGAAAACTGAGATTCTCTCCTGGGCTGGCTTGCCTCTGCTATCCCAGCCCATTCACGCTTTTCTCTGACAACTGCCTTTACATGTGTTATGGTTCAAGATGCTGATAGCGAAGGGCATTAGAGGAGGAAGTAATTATTACATTGGCCCGGGTCATTAGCCGTCCAACCCTGCCTGGGGGTAGGCAGGACCAGATTGGAGCCTAAGCATCTGGAGGATTAGGGTCTGTGATCATGGTAAAAATACTAATAGCGGGCCGGCCGAGTGGCGCGATGGTTAAGAACTGGCTTGGGACGCCAGAGGGCTCTGGTTCAGACCCCACATATGAGGGCCAGTGACACTGCCCTCCACAGCTAAGATGCTGAACAACAGCTCTATCTGGAGCTGGGCTGCCTTGAGTCATTGGCTAAGGCGTAGGCTGCAGCCCCTGTGGCAGTGGGTTGCCATGGGCTCCCGTGTGTAGCCAGCAGCCGCAGTGAGTGGCCGTCCAGAAGCCGGCGACTGATCTGCCTCACCCGAGAAGAGCGCAATGATGGTGCCAACTTGGGCCAGTGAAGCAACGTCCTCCACAACTAGNGGGGCCGGGCACCGCTCGCAGTCCCGGGGTGGGATGGGGGCGGGGTGCAGTGCAACCAACCTCGGCGTCGCCGCCGCCGCCACCGCCTCCCCGCGGCCCGGCGGGAGCTTCCGGTGCAGCGCGGAGGGTGTGGTCCGGGCAGCGGAAGCCGGGGAGGACCGGGGCGGGTCCTTGCAGCCGGAGCCCGCAGCCGAGGCCCGCAGCCCCTGGGGGCGGGACCAGCGCTCCACTGTTGGGGAAACTGAGGCCCAGGGCGGGGTCTGCGGCGTCGCAGGTTCTGTTCTCCCACTGGGGACTGACAGGCTTCCATTCTCCTCCGGCCTAAGCCGTGTTCCTGGCACAAATGAAGGACTCAGTAAAATGTTCGCAGAATAAACGAATACAGACCTGGGACTTGAACCCCCAGCCTCACCTCCTGCCTTCCTGAAACCTCGCGTGGGGATGGGGTGAGCCGTAGCGGAACCCGACTCTGGGCCCTCTTGGATTTATGCAAAGAGCCTAGCACAGTGCCAGGCTCATCCAAGCTTACAGGGTTGGCACAGTCAGCAAAAGGGATGGTATAAAGCAGCCTGAAGGCAGGGCACTTTTACGAAGCTGCATGTTTTAAGGAGCCCTTTCTGTTTTCGTCTAAACACACACACACACACACACACGCCCCTTCTCGGTCAGACCTCGCATGTCTGCAGGACTGTCAGGTAAGGGAGGAGAGAAGCTGCATGTTGTTGGTTTGATTTTGTTGTAGTTACTCAGGCACCTATTACATTCTTTTTATGTAGTAGGGTCCTGGTTTTTGTCTTGACACCCAACTGGAGTTGAAAACTGTGTTTTACTTTTTTGGTTTTCTTCGTTTGTTTTAAAACCCGGGATGTGCTTAAGCCCACCACCCACCAAGAGCAGAGCTTCTTCCAGCTTCTGACAGAGACGCTGATGCTGCAGGACAAGAGTCCCACTGGTGGAAGGAGGACCTCTGGGTCCTACCTGGAGCGAAGACACCTGTTCTGGACAAGCAGAGGGTCTCAGCACCTCCAAGACAGGCAATCTGTGGGAGGTTGACCCGAGTGGCCTCTGTGGGGCCTTTTTCTTTCTTTTTTTTTTGGGGGGGGAGAGGGGCTTTCAATTCTAGGAGAAAAGGATTCAGAGTTTTGAGTCTGTGATTTAAAAATCCATTGATGGGCCGGCCGAGTGGCGCGATGGTTAAGAACTGGCTTGGGACACCAGAAGGCCCCGGTTGGGATCCCACATATGAGGGCCAGTGACACTGCCCTC